ATATATATATATATATATATATATACTGTAATAATGTTATATTTTCTGTCAATGTTTTAAGCATTTGAAGGATACAAAATACTGACTAATAGATTATCTTAGACAAAGATATAACTTTTAGAAGGTTAAAATGGCTTCAGAAGAAATGCATGCTTGTTAAAGATATATAAGGTTGGGTTGTAAAACTTCTGAGAAGTGAATCAGTGTTGGGATTTCTTTGCAGTAGATAGAAAGCAAATATTTGATATTTCTTTTGCAAGTTAGTAGTTTTTTTGCAAAAATAAGATGTTATACTTTATTTACAGTATCAAAGGTTTCTTTTATGAGATAGAACGAGCAACATACAGAAGTGTATTAAATTTCATTTTCAAGTTTCTGGCATAGTTTCCAAGGGAGAGAGTTTATTATTATTTTTTTAATCCTTATCAGTTAATTTTTAAGAAAGAATGAGCACAAAATGTAAAGCCAATGTTGAAAGCTTTTTTCTGAAATACTGAGCAATTTTTATCAGCAAGGTTATTGTATAATTTGTTTGTTTTCATGACATATGCTTTAGTGTCTTAAGCCCAAGTATGTATTATTATTTTTACCGGTAGTAAGCACATCTATAAGCCACCCTGAAAATACAGTTATTTTCCATGCATTATCTCCACAACAGAAAATAAAATTCTCGTTATTAATGCTAGACCTGCATGTCTGATTTATCATTAACTCCTCTTAATGTTAGAGCTCATTTAAGACCCTGTGATTACTTTTATGAAAAATCCAATTTTCTGAAACAAGTCACACTTGTTATAGAAGCATTAAATTAATGTAGTCTCACAACTACTCTCAGTTCTGTTGCAAAAAGAAACAAATAGTGAAGTACAAACGAAGTTTAAACTGTGTGACCACATAACACAAGAAAATTATATGAGTGATAAAATGTACTTGCTAAGACAAATTCCATCTGATTTTTCTTTAAACGTTTTATTTAAATAGGGTTTGTAGTTTTCTTTTTTATCAGATGTTATGAAAAAATATACATTTCACCATAATTTATCAAATTTGATAGAGTAACACAAGAAAGTCTCTTCATTGTAACTGGACTCCTCATCACTTATCTTTGTACATTTCTTTTATAAAGAATCCAAATTACTGTGTTTTCACTCTAGGTATATATTGGACATGAAGTTACTTAAAAACTTATAATATTTAAAATTTATTATGTTATTAGTATTATTAATGTTTCATTCCAGAAAGTGATTGTAAATGTCAAGTTACATTCATGTAGTGCTGTCAGCCATAGAGATGTTTTCTGTTGTTTATTGAATAGTCTTGTGATCATAATTTGGGGGGAAGTTTTAGTTGCAATATAACTTCTTAATTTATTGATTTTTAAAATATTAAATTGCATAGAGCTAATTTCTAGTCGTAGATATGTCTTTCATTTCTCTTTTGATATCTACTAACCTTTTGTACTTTCTTTGCCTGCTGCTTGCATTCATGATCATGGTTAATCCTGAAGCCTGGGTCTATAGTGGCTGAGGACCTACTTGCCTGTCCCCCCTCTTGATACTGAAGCCCATGGACGAGTACAGAATCATTATCCACTGGGCAACTATGATTGGGAGTTGGGGATAAATAGATTATGGAAACAAATTCACTGCACATGTATTACTTTACTTCTTTCTTTTACTTGTACATTCATTATAAGTATTTGAAGTCCAGGCAACTCTAATACTGTGTATTCTTAATGCAATTTTAGGACTTCTTACCTTTGAAATTATCGGTTCGCTGTTTAGTTTAATAGCTGACTTATCAACGTTTTATTCAGAGAATATATCTATCAACAAAGAGTACCTGAGAACTAACCAAATTAACTGGGTAATTTTATGCATTAGTTTCCAGATATTTTGCTTCTTGTATAATTTGTTTCCATAATCTATACTATTTAAGTGAATTGTATAATTTGAGTAAATGATTAGGAACTAATAGATAAATCACTTGTTACCTCTGTGTTCATGTTTCATAACTTCTTTAATTAGAGAAAATGAACTCGTTCCTGTGTGTGGAATGTAGAGAGATTTGGAGTTGAACAATGTTTGATCAGTCATTCAGCAGCTATACTAAAATTACATTCTGGCTTTATTTTCTATGTCTTAGTGCTGTCATCTTTGCTTTAAAAGGCAATATGATTTTGTATTTTTTCTATGTTGTATTAAAGCTTCTCATATCCTTATTCCTTCCCACTGAAGTCCTATGTGTGAGTTGATAAACTATATATATATAGACATACACAAAACATCACCTGAACTGTATCATTTCTCTAAACTTTTATGACATAAATAGAAATAAACTAAAAATTGTGAATTTTAAATTTATCTCTACCCATCAAGACATGTACAGTAGCTGTGATGTTGCTTTAAGTAAAAGATAAGATAAAAAATTATAAGACTTCTGTTACTTCTTTAAAAAAAAGATAGTGAAATTTTAATATTTTTTTTTTAGATTAGTCATAGCTGTTTTATTTTGTAAAATTGATCCGTCACAAATCTCGCTACACACACAGCTTATGTTGCTGTAACTTTGTGAAGTTTAGTAACTTTATGATGGAAATATAAGGATTTTATATGCTTGTTTTATTTTCTTACATTCATCAAACTAAGAATGGATACTCATCTTCAAGTAGCTTTAACATTTTTAAAGTGAAATGCTGTAAGTGTCATTGCAGCTTTATCAACAAAACTGAGAAACTTTGTCATATAAGTGAAAACAAAAATTAATGTTTTGCTTCAAAAACAATAAGAATATATACATAAAACTAAAGTATATTCGATTAATCATAAAATGAAAAGGAATTTGTGTTAAACAAATGGAATGAAGTAAGCTAGTGCATAATAGGTTCATATCAAAGTAAAAATTAGAAAGTGGAGGTGGAAGTACACTAGGACAAAACATGTAGATTAATGTACATGTACTGAAACACTTCTAGACCATTGCTGAAATTGTGACCAGCAGCTTGTTAATGAGTGTATAAAAGAATAAAAACATGTACTATATGAGGCTACATCAATGTCTGTTGACAGTCATCGGTTATTGCTGAAAAATATATTCTTAGTGTTTGTGATGCAAATTGCTAAGAGCTTTTTGTTTTCCACTTATATGACTTGGGTGTGTGTGTATATATACATAATTCTAAACAATACTTTAAATATCTGATCAGTGAAGCAGTAATGACTATGGAAGCCTATGCATGTTTAAGCTTTGAAATAGCTTATGTTCAATCAGACAAAAAAAAAATCATCAAAGTGTAACTTGTCTGGCAATTGATATTTCTTACAAAACTCAGTTTTGCTCTTTTTTTTGTCTTATTTATTTATCTGCAATTCATATTATTAATGCATATTTACTTTTGCTATAATTTTATTACAGTTTTTACTTACCATGAGTTAATTTAGCAGCTGTTCTTTTTATTATTTATTTTTACCTTGTTTGTTTTGAGATTATTTGCAAGACTTTAATTTCTCCTTTTCTGACATTATTATTATTTTTTATTTATTTTTCTGTAGTGTATGCTGTCACCAAGGCGAAGAATAAAGAGAAAAGTTAAATTGGTTTTGAGTTCCTTGTTTACATACTCTGTGTAAATATGTCACAGCTGTAAATCTGTCTCAGAGTACTGAAGGCAAATGATTTACTAAAAATACATAATTTTGTATATATAGCCTTTTTTCTTTTCCATAGCTAGTCAACAGGTTAGTAGCAAGTAATAACCTTCTATGTGAATTTTTTGTTATTGTTAATTGGGTGGTAAAAATGAAATGTTGATATATACTTTACAACTGTTTTTGTTCTTTGATTTTGTATTTCTTGTGTAGTACTTTTCTAAGACAATAATTTATAGGGTTGGGAAAATGTAGATTATTAGTAATGCTTTTTTATTTTAATATTTAAGTGCATTCTGTTTTTATTAAATTTTTAGAGCATTTGAAAGAAATATTAGAGGAAAATTCAACTGTTTTTCGTTCTGTTTTTACATGTTTTTTTTAATAGGTTGTCATAATTATTGTAGAAAAGAAGTTGATGCTTCTTTGACAAATTTTATTTTGAAATCTAAATGTTTTGCAAATAGTTTGCTTAAACCACTAAAATGTCACAACACCACAAGGTCAAACAGTAGTATTTGTTAGATCTAAAGATATTTTTATATAGGGAAGTAAGAGTTAGGCTAATAATATTAAAATAAATGACAAGTGAATGTATTGAATTGTTTATTTGTACAAAACTGAGCTACAATTTAATTTTTTAAGTTGTTTTGTATTCTACAATCGATAACATTATAGTCTATCTTAAAGTTTGGGTGAGAGGTTTTCAGTAAATTAGTCACAAAGTTTTGTTTTTATTTATGTGTTTTATTTTTCTATTCTTTAAAGTTATCCAGTATAAAAAGTTTCTTATTTTTAGAATATCTATAAGTCTGATAATGCATAATTCCCATTATTTGCAGTACCTATATATTATAATCTTGCATGTTGAATTGATAAACTTATTTTATTTCTAAATAAGAATGTTTTATAACCAATTTTCTTGATCTACCAATTTATGTACTCCACTGAAGTTCTTTTTCTACAATAATGCATTAAAATTCCCTTTAACTGGTATTCACTAGGCAACATTTATGTAGCTTGTGAAAGAAAGTAAGTTTCTGTAGGGTTCAAGTTTTTTATTACATATTCTTATAGTGCACAAGGTATGGGAAACTTTTTGAAACATCGAGAATTGTATTTATATATACTTCACAAGACGTATGAAATGATTTCAGTGCTTTCTACAATGATATCAAATATTTTGATTTCATAAAAGATGATGAAATAAATTTCTCTCTAAGCCATTATATATACTTCATTCTAAATATTTTATTCTATTTGCATTTAGGTGTAACTTCTGCTCATACCCATTCTCCCCTGTTTTCTTGTATAAATCTTTTTTAGTATTATCATAATTTGATATAATAAATTCATTACTTTTAGGCATAACTTAATATTTTACACTAGTGATAAAATAAATTGTTATCCCGCAGTAAATGTTTAAATTACTGTTTCATAGTTTAAGTTTATTGTTCATACCAAACGGTAGACTGGATATCGTTAAGAATTGAAAGAAATAGGGTACATCTCAACACCTGAAGGCTCATTACCATTGGTTTCACTAAAATATACCTACTGAAAGGTACCAGCTACTTAGAATATGTTTGTGGCTGCTTTTGTCTTTACTTGCAAGACCATGATTTGCCCATTAAAAACGAAAAAATGAACACCCAGTCACCCAGAGCAAAGTGTTTTCAGTCCAAAAGTGAAAGCTTATTACTTGAAGAAAAGTTTTTCTGTACTCCATTTTTCCCATCATGTTTCCAGTGAGTTATGCTAATATTTGATTCCTGTTTACTGTACATGTACATTCACATGCTAAGTAGTATCTGCTGTTAAAGATAACATTTGTTACTAATTATCAGTTTTAAAATTTTGTCAAAAATTAGTTGTGTAAACACGACTTCAGATGAATAAAAGTTATGATAAAAGTACTTGAACTTCAATACACTGTCTTCAAATAATTGAAGTAAAAATTATACAAGTAATACGCAAATTCACACTTGACGATAGATATGAATATGTACACACACACACATTGTGTTATATCTTTGCATGAACAAGATTATTTGTTTACTTTCCACGCAAGGTTACCCATATTTCATTTAGTAAGTGTTGTTTCCATAATTGCTTTTTTAGTCCTTGCTATATTTTAGTAACTTTTTATGCACTTTATACTAGTGGATACAGTTACACTTTACACTATTGAAACGTGTCAAAAACACATATTTTTCTCTTTAAACAAATCCTTTTACAATATTCCATCAAATAAGTTAAATCATATCCATTTGAGTTTGCGAGTACAACTATAGCTTTTAGAGTATTCTAATATCTCGTGCAAGCGTCACCCAGTGGTTAGCCTGACAAACTGTCGAGCTGAAGTTCCGTGTTTCACGTCATGTTAACCCTCTCACTTCAAAAACTAATTGTGCTCCGCTGTTTTGTGCGTTATAATAGTGGTAGTCAAATCACACTCTTCGGTCTGACAAGAGTCATTGGTGGATCACGTTAACCAACTGCCTTCCCATGATAATTAAAAGACAGCTAGCGCAGATACCTCCGGTGTAGCTTTGCGCGAAATGCGATAAACCATTTCAATATGACTTTGACGGTAAGTTACTGGGACAGTAGAAGACATTCGAGTATGTAGACGTATGTGAATGAGAACAATATAAGTTGGAATTGTTAAAGAAAGTAGCAGATGTACATTATAGTTACGGAATAAAATTGTAAAACTGATTTTCTCAAATATAGAAAATAGGAATATTACATGCTATGCAATTTGTGACAATTTTAGAGGTATTTCGAAAACTAAAAGATGGGAATATTAAGTTTTACGTATTCATAAAATTTCTATAAAAAGATT